TTAAAATTACATCATTTTAATAAAATAAAATAAAAATTAAAACAACTTCAATCTTTAAAATTTAATTTAAGATGTTTAATTTTTCTCAGTGAATATATTTTGTAAAATAAGAGTTGAATTAATTTTTTGCTTAATTTTTTTAAAATATGACTATTATACATATATCCCTCTTAATTATTTCATAATTAAAGAAATTATTTTATTTAAGAAAACCAAGTACGCAACCCTTCTTGAAACAGAAATTAAGCTGCCTTAATGCTGATAAGAGAACTCTTCCCCTTTATTTTTTACTCAACAATCTTAAAAAAAAAAAAAGAAAAGAAAAAAAACAGATAAAAAGTTGCAACCAGATGCCATTTTAGGTAGAATCAAGCAACTACAGTGACCCAGAGTGATAATACCAGAACCATGCAAGGAGTTGCATGTCCGAACAAGAGACAACATTGTGATATAAACATCACAAAACCAGAATCCACTATCTATACCCAAAGCCCGTGTCTAGCTCATGGCCGTACATTCCTTGACTATGGCCACCACCACCACCACCACCACCACCAAAGGGGTGAATCTGCTTTGAGTTTGTTCTTAGCTCCATCTCGATAAGCCTTTGCAATGCCTCTGGTTGATTGCCTGTGCTACTGACATCAGGACCTGAATTGACAATTTGTTGTGCAAGGTTACGACAGCAGTTCACATACAAGAAAGTAGTTTACATCTTGAAAACAACTATATGGCCACAACATGAGAATGAAGGTCCAGCGTGTTTATCATAACTTCCTTTTCACGTTCCTTTTCCATGAATAGAAGAGAATAGATCCTGTGAAGTTGGAAGTCAAAATGTAAGAAAGCTTAGGAGAGATGACGTTGTTCTTTACCTGGGGGCATTCCCAGACTGGGAAAGTTGGGTTGCCTACGATCAAAGGGAAAACCTTGCATTGGGTTCATTTCCTGCATAAAACCAGTCGCTGGATTGTTTGAATGAGGCATTGGTGCACTTCCAGGAAATCCTCGTTGCAAGTGAGGAGGAAAATTTCCTGGTGCCATTTGCTGTAACATAGGATGTAGTGGAGGATCAAATCCAGTTAGTCCACTGCTAGGGTGGTGGAACGGAGGGCGAAGCATATTTGCAGGAAACTGATGGTGTGGAGGGGGATCTTGGTGAATGATGGCTTCCTGAGACATGAACTTATGCATTTGAGGATTCATATTAGGAGGGTGAGAAAATTGCCCAGCATGATTCAATTGACGAGGATGAAGCTGTGAAGAAGATGACTGGATGTTGAGATTTTGAAAAGGAATATCTGGCTCCCTCATATCATAAAGACCACGAAGAAACAGACCATCTTGACCTCCCACAGCAGGCTTTAGTGCTGCTAGTTTCTCAACAATGTCAACTGGTGTCTCTTGGAGGGGTAATAGTTCAGCTTTAACTGAATTTCTAACAGGCATGAAGTTCTGAAGGTTAACAGGATCACTGACGGCAATCAAAGTATCCTCTTCAGGAAGCCGAATGCTAGCAGATCCATCAAAAGCACCAAGTTTAGACCCCAATTCAGCTCTATGCTGTGATGAATCTGGTACAGTTCTATGATCATCAAAGCCTAAAACATGCTCTCCAATCCCATCAGATTTCATGCGCTCCCTTTGGGTAAAAATATTGGTTTCGTAATCACTGCTGTTTGACCCAGTGTGAATTGCAGAAGAAAGAAGACCACTATCTTTAACAGAAAGTGGTAACCCATTAGATTCTATTGAATCAACTCTAGCAGAAACTGTTGAGTCCCTCTGGAAAGAAGCTGGTGCTCCCACTGACTGTAGTTCCTGCATGAAAGCACTTCCAAAAAGTGCTTCAAGAGTAAGATTCCTCCCTGAACTTGAGGCATTTTTTGCACTTACTTCTATTGAATCATGAGCACTGTCAATACTGGCTACTTCCCTACTTTGTACTTTTTCCAACAACACGATGTCCAGATTGCTGGATGGGTCCATACCTTTCATGCCTGTCCCCTTCTGCAGCAATGAAAGCAGATGTTGTGATGCCTGATTATCAATATCAACCTTTTGCTGCTGGGTCTTCTCATTGGGAATGCTCCAACCTTGCATAGGAGGATTTAAAGTTGAATCTTTTTCACTGCTTTCTGACAAAATTGACTTTTCAAGGTCTTCACATGTGAGAACAGCTGGAGCTGCTGCTGGTTTATTGACATTATTAACATTGCACAACTGCTCAGAGTTTTCCATTCCAGAAGTTGAACTTGATCTTACATGCCTATTTGAAGGTTCAGGGCTTTGCAAGGGAAGATTTGGAGTGACATTATTAATAGCTACATCAGAAACCTGAGCACCACCTCTTTCACCACCCTTAATTAATGAGAGCAAGTCATTTGGCCTGCCAGATGAAAGATCTTCGACTGGTTTCCTCTCTGCCGCAATATGAAGAAAATTGGAATCAGTGGCCGAACATATTATCCAATACATAACAGAAATGTTTGGAGCTAGTTACATTGAAAATTAACTCCAGATAATTAATACCAACCTTCTTCAAGAAACCAGCGAGCAAACTTGGAAGAGTGTACGGTACCAGGTGGCCATGCATCATCTGCTTTATTACTCTGATGCTAAAGGAAAGAGATATCAATAGGTTTAAGTAAGATACTTAATGCTAGGAACAACATTTATTAAGGACAAACAGTTAAAAAACAAAAAGAAAAAAGAAAAACAAAATAAACTGCACAAAACTAAGATTACGGTAAATGTTGATCAACCTTATCTTTAACTCCTAAATAAAATCTAGGTGCTAGGGATCATCAATTAGGCAAGCATTTTATATTTTTCAAGAAGGCAGTGCAATGAAGGAGGGTATTAGGATAAAGGTGAAAAACATCTCTCAAAATCATCAATACCTCAGTGGAACTAGTAGAGCCACTTCCATTTAGTGTTAAAGCACTACCAAAAATTTTGTCCAAAATTGAGGTTGAATGATGCTGGTTGGATTCACCCATAATATCACTCACAGGCAGCTTCTTTGGACCAAGTTCTATGACTTCACTGTTCTCTGCAGCTTGGAAA